ATTGAATGTATCTATTTACATGTTAAGGAAACAGGTTATAAAATACGCACAACGTTCATTGAAAATAATAATATTATTATGTGTCCCGATAACTGATAAGCGATAACGAAAAGTGTATAATATTATATCATACGCCGTACCTATACAATTAATTATGTGTTTAGGTACCTGGTACCTATTCAATGTTTAAATCATTCGAATAGGTTTGATCCTTTGAGGTTTATATAATATTGCATAACGCGACGGATACAATAAAAACAAATTGCTCTTTACTGGTATAAACGGTAAAAAGTTTAGGAATTTATTTAAAAGTTTTTTTAATCATATAAACAATATTATTATACCTAGGTACGGTATATTTTTAAATCTAATCTAATATAATATGGTTATTATACTTTATAACTAATAGTCCTTATTACCTTAATTATGACTATACGACTGTGCAGATTATTCATAAAGGCTCCAATTGGAATCCGACATCAGACTAAATACGATTGCCGAAATCACAACATTGACAGACAGCAACAAACCTCACTATCACGATAATCCCATGGTTGAATAAAATATATTATTACTCTATGGTTGAAATATACCACGGACTAAGATATATCTTAGTCCGTGAAATATACCAAGGTTTATGGATAATTATTATCTATAAACCTTGGAAATATACAGGTTATTGCATATTGACTCGGATTGTTATCATCTGAAACAAAATGGCTGCGTAAAGGGATATCACAAATATAAATTTTTCTTATCATCAAAAACATGCTGACAAAAGCTAACAAATTAAAAATTCCCGCGCATGTATACTTGATTATTATAGGCTCCCTTGATGATGCCATTTTTGTTTTTATTATCAAATATTTGATTGAGAAGCGGTATAAATTCAATAACCTTGTATATTATTTCAACCATGGATAATCCTGAACTTGCTGTTCGGCTGGCTCGGTGTTCGCCTCGAGAACTCCTCCGGGGTACCTATATATCCCTCGAGTAGATTGCAATGTAACTGGTTCAGATGTCTACTTTAAGTAGATCTCTTTAAGTTAAGAGTCTCGCACGTGGAACTTCAAATTCATGTTTTTCAAAGTTTTATAAATGGAATATAATAATAATTTCATATTAATTATTAATATGTTAAAAAATATTAATTTCTATACCATGTTTTATGTGCAGAATACAGTTCATAGGTATTTAGTCAATTAAAAAGGAAAAAAATATTCATTACTCGAACATTAACAAACAATATTAATACTTCACTTAAATTATGTATCAATATAAAAACTATTATTAGAGTATAATATTGTTCCTATATATTTTTTATATTTAGGAATATTTTATCTCGATATTTGATAATCTAATTATAATGAATACAAAATTATTATATTTATAATATTAATTGTATTTAATACCTATTAATTTTCATTATTGTTGGGTCGGGAAATCCAATTACGTAATAAAAATGTAAAACGTTGAACTAATAAAGCAATAAATAATATGAAAACTATTCCAAAACAACTGTCGACAAGATTTTTTTCATTTCATTATTTTCTCTCCGCGTACTTCATTACCAGCAAAAATTGTATAATATAATATACATATACCTACCTAGATAGAGTGCGGATAGTATATTATTTAAATGCGTGGACAGATTGGAAAACGAGTTTAGATAGCAGGTAGCGAATTTATATGTATAAAGCACGAAACTATATTTTCTGGAAATATATTATGTCTACGTATAATAGTATAACCATAAGATTCCCAGTGACAAATCGAAGTCAATAATGCTTTTCAATTTAAATTCATTAAAAATACTGGTTATAGAATATATTGTAATATACACCGTTATAAAAACTCTATTCGCACTTTATATAAAAGGTACACGACAGAAACTCGAAGACCATAGGTATAATATATTTCGATGCTAAATGTCTATTCGTTTAGTCGCTTGTTATATATTATTTATACAACACGCAGTTACAGTTATTGTATACGATTTTTTTATGTACGGATTGTATATTTTTCTGATAAAAAAATGTACTGTTATTTCAATACAGGTAGGTACCTAAGGTGGTTAAAAAAAACACAAACGTATTTTAAATCTACATAATGTTTTTTTTATAATAACACACGCACCGACTATAATAAATAATTTATAGCAAATAAAGTAAATAATTTTTTATTTATTTTCTATTCAAATTTAATACTTCAAACTCAATACTTCAAACATTCGCAATTATTCTATTCGTGGGTTATAAATTACGGGCTTATGAAAATATTATATAATGATATACATAAAATCATCGGCTAATGTTGCTGCAAATCAGGCGGACACAATATCCTCACTATATTATAATATTATATAGATGCATCGTGTTTTCATAATTTCGATTCCACTTGGTACACAAATGCATGTATATTAAATGGGTGTAGTACACTATACAGTTAACTTTATTTAAATTTTGTAAGGAACCTTTCAACGTTACGTCGTTACTGTAATTTATCTAATTTGTATGCTTCGTATATGCTTTTTCTGTGGTACATCTGTAATTTGTACACTTCTACGTATAATAAATAAAACCGAAAATAAGTGATTTACGGTTACGTGTGTACAATGTACAAAGAACCAAAAACAATTAAATAGGTAATATATTTTCACTTATATTATTTGTATATTGTCGATTATTATTACGTAGGCATAGGTAACACATTAAGCAGCGATCCGGCCTTGACCGCGAACCCATTTGAAACAACAGGTATTTATTATGATGGTTTAATCCTTTACAATTCGGGCTTGCATATAGTTTGAGACAGCAGGTATATTATACCTACATATATTATAGATATTATTATAGACATAATGATTCGCCGACGGCCTAAGGTTTTTATTGATATCGGTACAACTAGGTACGTTTATATTACTGCATGTGACGAGTATATTCTTTGTATATAATACTAGTTTATAATCTTTGTTATAATTATATGTCAAAACTATTGGATTTACACAAGTCTAGTGTTTTATTTAAGTAATTTCGCAGTAAAAGAAGTTATGTAATGTAAAAAAACTGGAAATTGGAATCCAATTTAGTGCGACTTGAAAATATTTTTTTGGTCGTCTCGATGGTAATTTGTAATTTAGTAAAAATTTAAATGTTTATATATTTATATAGTTCTTCTAACTAAATAAACGTGAAACTACTTATATATTATATACTTTGAAACGGCTAATCTCAGAAACTACGAGACCGATTTGGCTAATTCTTGTTTTATTGTGTTCGAAATTGTCAGGACAAGGTTAGTATGAAAAACAATATTTTAGAACAATACACCGGAAAAGCAGAAAATCTGAAAGCCAAAAATACAACAGGTGTTTATTGTAAGGTTCCTATTGGTTATAGTTGAATATAATTTTAGACCTGTATATTATACTTGGTCAAAACCATATTATAACTTAGTAAAAATGGTATTCCTAACGCTAACTTTTCGACCGTTGTCCCGGGAACCTACACATGCACATCATAAACAAATTTAAACATTCGTTATTAAGTGCGCACCTCGATGCGCACTTAACAGGTGGATTGCCTACCCGACAATATACTGACCGCATAATCACAAGCGTCTCTCACGGGAAACGCCGGCGGGATGGCTATATAATATAATAATATAATCGAATGTGTCCTGACTGACTGACTGATCCTGAAATAATGATAGCTCGAGGCTTGCCATTTTCATGGTACCTATTATATTATATTAATCTCATAAGTCTAAGATATGTTTTGGCAAGATATTATTGACGGTAATAGGGAGGTGTATGGTGATACACAAATATTTTACACTCGGGTGAAGCTGCGTGGTAATTCAGCTAGTAAAACATAAAATATAAACACCTATAATAGGTACTCGTATGACAAATATAATATTATGATGGGTTGTTAATTATTATTGATTAAAAATTACCTAATGTAATCAGAAATATAGATGTGTAAAAATCATATAAAATTCGAAGTTTTAAACACTTTACGAATCTCAAGGAATATGTGCAGTGCAAACTGCAAAATATTGTGCCGATTGGATAAGTGGTTCCAGCGATTAGAGGAGACTAACAAAGTAAGTACAATTATTTATATTATGTATAAAAAATTATTACAATGGTGTATAAGCAAGTATAATATAATTTTAATAATATGAAATACATGTGATATCTGGTTTGCATCGTTGTCATAGCCGACCGAAGTAAATAATAATAGTACAGTTATATATATTTGATAAAAATTTATCATTTTTAAAGATTCTAGTTTGAGTTTTTATTTCAATAGTTTTCACAAAAAGATATTATTATTTTAACGTGTTTTAAGTTTCTTATTCACATTTTAATTGAAATGATTGAGAATACAAACAGGGTGCAAATTTACCAGCAGCCAAGGAGGCAGCAGATTTACAAGCCCCTCGAAAATATATGTCTATGTAAGGTCGTGGATGGTTGGGGAAGATCTACATACAGGTATGATCCAATAAACATTATTAAGTAATGCATAGGGCTAGTATAAATCCTTATAATATTAAATATTCAATAATATTAAATAATAGTTAAATTCAAAGCGAGCTTTGGGTACCATAATATTTTCTCTTATAATTGTTTTTATAATTCGTTCAATTTAATTTAAAACATTTAACAAAAATTAAAAACTGCTATGAAGAATGGATTAAATTATATAACATGGAATACGACTATCAGTGGCGTGCCTAATACGTACTACCTACTAACTACGTATCCACGTTTCAGTCAATCGTACAAGCAGCCCGGACCTGCAGATCAGAGCAGCAAGCCCTGCACGATGACACCAACAGAGGGCCTCTGGCCCAGGCCAGACACTTGCAGCGAACAGTTCAACCAGATGACCGTGCACCAGGCCAGTTTTCGCGAGTAGTCGTGCGCGGAACGGACGCTGCCCGCGGTGCAGTGCGATCATGAGCTCGTGGGTGGCTCTCAGGAACTAATGCAGAACGTGACGTCGCAGCGACATGACTTCGTGGCCAAGTCTCTGCCTAAGGCTGAACGGCAGAGGGCCACCAGGCCGGAGGAGACCATAGGCACCAACTGTGGCAGCGGCGCGTGTGCAATAACGGGCAACACCACCACGGCCGACGCGTTCGGGATTCCGTGTAATAACGGACGACGGCCACTGGCGCGGCCGTCCACAGCCAATTGGTCGCAGGGCCCAAACTTGCTGATGGCCAAAGAGACGGAGACCAACTCGAGTTACCAGCAGTGGGACCCTCTGGAGTTGTTCCGGCCACGGTCGCTGGCACCGTACTGCCGCCCGGAAGAGCCCGTCAACGGTCGCTCCGTGTACAAGGAAAGTTACCGGCCACCCGGCTCGTTCCGTGACCCGTTGCCCGGGGAACAACCCCCGATCAACGGGTACGGAAACGATGATAAGTCCGCCGCGAACGAGGCTGACACCAGCCAAACGTTTCCTCCCAGAGCGCACCATTACAATTTGCGTAGAATATTGTAAATATAATTTATGATTTATGTGAAAAAATAAATAAATACATTTTCCAGAATATAAATTATAAAATCAATAATAAATACCAAAATAAATAAATATAAAAATATTCACAGTTCTTTGCAAAAAAAAAATTACTTCAGTAAAAATACCAATATTTTACTGTAGTTATTTTTTTTTGCAAAGAATTGTGAATATTATTTATTTATTTTGATATTTATTATTGATTTTATAATTTATATGCTGGAAAATGTATTTATTTTTTCACATAAATCATAAATTATATTTACAATTTGTATAGATTATTGTAAATATAATTTATAATATAAATTGTAATCGTGCGCTCTGGGGAAAACGGTTGTCTGGTGTACACGGTGCGACCGTTGACGGGCTCTGCCGGGCGGCAGTACGGTGCCAGCGACCGTGGCCGGGACAACTCCAGAGGTCCCCACTGCTGGTAACTCGAACTGGTCTTCGTCTCTTTGGCCATCAGCAAGTTTGGGCCCTGTGACCAAGTGGTGGTGGACGGCCGCGCTAGTGGCCGTCGTCCGTTAGTACACGGAATCCCGAACGCGTCGGCCGTGGTGGTGTTGCCAGTCATTGCGCACGCGCCGCTGCCGCAGTTGGTGCCTATGGTCTCCTCCGGCCCGGGGTGGTCCACTGCCGTTCGGCCTAAGGCAGACACTTGGCCACGAAGTCATGTCGCTGCGACGTCGCGTTCTGCGTGGGTTCCTGAGAGCCACCCACAAGATCGTGATCACATTGCACCGCGGGCAGTGTCCGGTCCGCGCACGGCCACGAAAACTGGCGCGGCCGTGAAACTGCCGGTCGGGAGAGCCCTTCAACGGACGCACCGTGTACACGGTCAGTTCCCGGCCACCCGGCTCAGTAGGATGAATATGTAGGTTCTGGAGCACCGCCCCCTTAAATTTCACATGTAAAAGCATAGGCACCGCTGTATAGTGCTATAGTCAATTCGAAGTACACGCACCGCTCAAACTTCCATTAATTACTCAATATAGGCAACCCGCAACACACATAAACTCGTCGCACGCACAGATATATAAAAATACTAGATAGATAACTTGGAAATGTTTTTGAAGCCAACAAAATGGCCGAAATTCTCTTATCTAAGAGGTGAATGTTTACATTTTCATAACACTGATAAAGATATTATTGTTATCAATTTGTCATAATATGATTAATATTATAAATTATAAGTTTAAACTTTAAAGTTGTATAGTTAGTTCATGATGTTAATAACTTAACTTACTTACATAAGTCTTAAATACATATGTATCAACTTTTAGCTAATTCAACAGTTATGTAAATTATGTAATGGTGCATGTGAATATTACATTATTTTATAAAAATTTGTTTTATTGTAAAATATTTTTAAAAACAATCTGAATTAATTAATTAAAAATTTTACATTCATTTATTATTTTTGAAAAACTATATTTAAAATCAATAAAAAAAAACTGGTATACTAAATTTTTTAATTAATATTACAATTTAAAAAAAAAAAACAAAATAAAGCTGGTACCTACCTATCTACTAGTAGTATACCTAGTATAATAATAATAATAAAATATTTAAAATCAATAAAATAAAACTGGTAAACTAAATAATTTAATAATAATATAATAAATGTTTAAAACAAAAAAAAAACAAAACTGGTATACAACCTAGTATAATAATAATCTTAAAATATTTCAAATAAATAAAACCGGTATACTACCTTGTATAATAATAATCATAAAATATTTAAAATTAATAAAACAAAATTTGTATCTATATTAGTGCTACATATTATAGTAATAAATTTGAAATATTTCAAGTAAATAAAACAAAACTAATATATTAATTAATTTAATAATAATACAAATATTTAAATAAACTGTACCTAGTCTATACTATATAATATTTATACCTACTACTGGTTCATAAAAATTATTTGTTAAGTTAATTTTTGTCTTTTACTAACAGGATTTAAAATTTCTGTTGAAAACATTTTGCCAAAAGAATGGAGTCGAATACTTAGATATTTTTTAACTAATAATGAAATGAATACCATCTTATGGGGTCTATCTAGCAAAGGAACATTATCACATTGAAGTGTATTAAAAATATTATTATCGAATGCAAATGTATTATTACATAGGTTTATTATTTTTAAATCAAGATTTTTATATTTAATGTTTGAATTTGATTTTGATGTGTGGCTTCACATACTCCTATACACAACAATGTTTTAACCTAAACTATAAATTAATTAATAAAAATCATTCTTAACAAAACTAAATCATATTTAACTAATATAATTTACCATGAGTTTAAGGATTGAACTTTTGGTCAAAACTTATGAGCTGCATATTGTATTATACCGTATGTTTAAAGTTAATACAAGTAAATTCCATTCTTTGTATGGTTATAAATACAAGATCATAAAATAATTGTAATTTAATTATACCATTTAATGGCATTTATTTTGGAACTCAACGTCTAATAATTATAAGAGGCTTGTTATTACATAAATATATTATTAATTTAACCAATTTTTGTAATTTCACCAAGTATAAGATATACGTATATTAATAATATTTTCTCTTATATTTAATATTAAATTAAATCTTTTTTGTTTTACTTTATTTTGTTGTAATATGATATAACATAAAGTTAAATTTATTTTCATTTTAGTTCATTTTTAATATGAACTCAGATCATTAGAATTCAAGCATGTGCTTATTGGACGAGCTTGAAACTTGTTTATTATATCTATATTGTATTTTTCGTTTTTTGCAATAAATTATACTTTTAATCTTAATTTTAAGTCAAGGACTAAGACATACTATAAAATTAAAAAATTAAAATATAAGTAGGTACATCTTAGTCCGTGTTGTAACTAGTAAGTGTATGATATTGTAATGATATTGTAATTTGTAATACATATTTAATAGTTTTTGATTCCCGCCATAAAATTATCACAGTTTATCATAATTTATATTTTGTAAACATTCACCTCTTAGATAAGAGTATTTCGGCCATTTTGTTGGCTTCATAATTATTACATGGTAGGAATAGGGAGTCGTCTATCTAGTATTTTTATATATCTGTGGTCGCACGCCACCCGATCCCACACTTGCCCGACCTATATTCTTCCTCATTCCTAATCAAATACATTACCTACCCTTTTATTTACCCTTTAAAAAATATAAATATAATCTTCTAATGTACATTTGTATCGACTATATCGAACACTTGTCCGACATATATTTTACCCCTTCCTAATCAAATACATTACATCCCCCCTTTTATTTGCCCTTTAAAAAATATAAATATAATATTCTGATATACATTTGTATCGACTATATCATACATACATACATACATGTTCATAATATCATATAAGGTAACTACATAACACATATCTAAAAATATTATACCATTTTCAGATTATAATCAAATTCGAATAAACATCTCGCTAAAGCATACGTTATACATCGAAATGTATCACACACACACACACACACACACACACACAAACAAACTCACACATGGTCACAGTGATAAGCAATAAAACATTCCAATCCAACAGAGTACCAGCCTAAATTATATTTTACACCCCACCACCCGTCCTCACACCCAAACAATATCATCCGACTTCAGACCAGTACAAGCCTGTAGCAGGGGCTAAAGAATTGTGTCCCCTGACACACTTTGTGACCCCTGAAAATCAAAGTGTGTCCCCTGATTGACAAATGTGTGTCTCAAGTTTTATGACGTGTTTTTTAGTCTTGTAGAAATAACAAACATTAATCATTTAATATTTTTATTTAATAGTTACCTATTCTGTTAACTAATTTAACTAATTACTTATTTTATTTCTATACTATGGACAAGTTTTTTATAAAAAAGAAGAAGAAATGATAATGGGTCAATACAAAGTAAGTAGGTACTTGCCTTAATATATTAAACAACTAAACATACAAGTACATAATATATTTAAATTATTCTATGTTGTGTCTATTGAAATACAATATTGTTTACTGAAACCTATAGGTACTGAAGAGTTAACTAGTAAGAGCATTGTAAAATATACCGTATTGTCATAATATTATATAATTAGGTATACTATAATATATTATAAATATGTGTTTTTATTTATTTTAAGTCTGAAATATGTTAAAATATTTTTTAAAAATAACAGATAATCATAATCATAAATTGGACTTTGAAGAATTAGCTAGTTACTTTTCCTTGTTTAATAAATATAACTAAAAGGTTCTATATACATAATAATATAATATTATAACAGTTTATTTAACTAACAAGCCCAATATTATTTTCTAATATTTTTAAAATATTATATATATTTTATATTAATATTTAATATTTTAAAATTTGTTTTTTAAAAAACCTTAATATTCTTATAAAGTAAGTCGTTACATTAATTATTTTCTAATTGATGATCGTTACCTATAAACATATTCACATATTTCCCAATTTACTACAAACAAGGCTTAGTATAGGCTTTTACTGCTTTTAGTGATTTAAAATATTTATGAAGGTTACCTCACTAACTCACTTACAGAGTAAGTGGTATATAAAAGAGGGGGTTATTTTTGGGATTTCAAACCCCAAGGGTTTTTTTTGCTATAGAAATCTGTCAAAGCCCAAAAGTAAAAGTTAAATTAATAAGTGTGTCCTCTGAAATCAGATGTATTTTAGGCCCTGGCCTGTAGTGACACATCCGAGTATTTTCGATGTATAGTGCACAGAGCAATATGAGATCAGTCCGTTTTACTACCGTTCAAGTGTCAAGTCGCTTTATTTCAGAGTTATTAAGTGTTTCTAAAGTGTATACAAATATTTTACAAGTTTTATAAAAATCAAATTATTTATTTTGCTTTAATGAACACCGTAGTTCATTTTTCCAACACTAGTTCTGATATTAACGCATACGTAAATATTTCGCTTAGATAAAACTATTTCACACTGTTATGTAA